ACACTGAGATGCTGCTTTAGACAACAAGATGAGAACATGAACTGATACATGCTGCTTTAGACAACAAGATGTCAGAACATGAACTGATACATGCTGCTTTAGACAACAAGATGTGCAGAACATGAACTGATACATGCTGGTGCAGAACATGAACTTTAGACAACAAGATGTGCAGAACATGAACTGATACATGCTGCTTTAGACAACAAGATGTGCAGAACATGAACTGATACATGCTGCTTTAGACAACAAGATGTGCAGAACATGAACTGATACATGCTGCTTTAGACAACAAGATGTGCAGAACATGAACTGATACATGCTGCTTTAGACAACAAGATGTGCAGAACATGAACTGATACATGCTGCTTTAGACAACAAGATGTGCAGAACATGAACTGATACATGCTGCTTTAGACAACAAGATGTGCAGAACATGAACTGATACATGCTGCTTTAGACAACAAGATGTCAGAACATGAACTGATACATGCTGCTTTAGACAACAAGATGTCAGAACATGAACTGATACATGCTGCTTTAGACAACAAGATGTGCAGAACATGAACTGATACATGCTGCTTTAGACAACAAGATGTGCAGAACATGAACTGATACATGCTGCTTTAGACAACAAGATGTGCAGAACTTTGAACTGATACATGCTGCTTTAGACAACAAGATGTCAGAACATGAACTGATACATGCTGCTTTAGACAACAAGATGTGCAGAACATGAACTGATACATGCTGCTTTAGACAACAAGATGTGCAGAACATGAACTGATACATGCTGCTTTAGACAACAAGATGTCAGAACATGAACTGATACATGCTGCTTTAGACAACAAGATGTCAGATACACATGAACTGATACATGCTGCTTTAGACAACAAACAGAACATGAACTGATACATGCTGCTTTAGAACAACTGATACATGCTGCTTTAGAACATGTAACAACTGATACATGCTGCTTTAGACAACAAGATGTGCAGAACATGAACTGATACATGCTGCTTTAGACAACAAGATGTCAGAACATGAACTGATACATGCTGCTTTAGACAACAAGATGTCAGAACATGAACTGATACATGCTGCTTTAGAACAACAAGATGTCAGAACATGAACTGATACATGCTGCTTTAGACAACAAGATGTGCAGAACATGAACTGATACATGCTGCTTTAGACAACAAGATGTGCAGAACATGAACTGATACATGCTGCTTTAGACAACAAGATGTGCAGAACATGAACTGATACATGCTGCTTTAGACAACAAGATGTCA